TTGGCTTCAACCCATGGTGATCTTATGGAGTAGAGAATACAATGTTTATTTATCCCGGGCTATCTTTTTGATCATTGATTGGTTTGGGTCCATTGTTGTGGCTGTTGTATCAATCCACCTCTTGTAATGGATGGTCTTGAACTTGTCCAGTCATACTGTTCTTCTATTCACATCCCCAAACAAACCACAGCCATTCAGTCCACTTCCTCTGGACCCTGTCCTCTACAGTGTTCTGGGGATTGTAGCTCTTTATCTTTCTTCTGCAGAGCAGCTGGTAGGTTTCAGCTGCTGACCTTGCAGCTAGCTGCCCAGTATTCATGCCGCAGCGCCCCCGGGTTGTTTCAGGTGTGTGATCCCAGACAGCAATAGGATCAAAAGCGGCATCCATAAAGAGGGAATACATTTCTATGCAGATTCTATACTGCTGATAAATTATTTAAGCACTAGGAAGGAAGGCGTCAAATTATTTAACCTAAGAATCTTAGCACAGGGAACATATATTTACTGCTATGATGATGATATTATAAGATGTACCGTAAATATTAAAAGGGGATTTTTACTCTGCCTCTTTACTCACTTCTCTAATAGTACACTAGACACTGTGGAGCAATCCTTACCAAGTTGATTGCTGAGATAGCCCAGATTTCTTTTTAAGACTTAGAGAATGATGAAGCTACCTTGTGATCGTTTGAGGATAAAACAGATTGTTCTTCAACCATAGTAATGTTCAAATTGATCTATGACCCTTCACTTTCAGTTATCTTATAATTGAAGAATTTTTTATAACAGTATTCTTATTTTTTATCAACATGAAGTAATGCTACTGTATTTTGACGGACAAAATACTAAATGAAAAGTTACTGTGACTATATATTTAATTGCTACTGAAAATTGGAGGGCAAAATGGATATGTGCAATCTAAACAGTTTATACAATAGAATAGAAGGAATGTTCATTTTCTAATATGGTGTGATGTTTTGCCGCAGTCTTAAAACAACACCTATGTGTTAACTCACAACTGTAGGCTCGAGGCCCAGAGACCGTATTGCTGGACTCGGTGCTCAGGGTCATAAAAGGCGGAAATGAAGACATCAGTTAGGCTTCATTGCTTCCTGGAAAATGTTGAGAAGAATTTGCTTCCAACCTAAGTTAGACCTTTTGAGATTTGGGGACTGAGGTAGTTGCCTTCTTTCTGTCATTTCTGGACTGTTCATAGGTCTTGAAGCTTCCTGAATTCTTTTTAAAAAAATATTACTGGCATATTATTCACATCTCATACAATTCAATAATTCAATCATATTAAGAAGAGTTGAACGATCCTAACCACAATCAATTTCAGAACATTTTCTTCTTTCTCATACCCATTGTTTTTAGCTCCCCTTCTCTACAGCGTCCCCTGCCATGTCTCTAGGTAATTATTAACCCAGTTACTGTCTCTAGATATACCTGTCCTAGATTTCATATACAGAATAACATACAAAACAAAACGGAAAAACAAACAAAAGCACCAAAACAATGACCATCAAATAAAATGGAAAAGACCTTCAGTTGAAAAGAAAGTAGAAACTACAAAAAATTGAAACAAATGTGAAGTGGGTTAAAAGGAAGATCAAGTGCATTTTACCCTAACTGCGTCTGCTGTAATTGACTTTACAATGCTTGGTATCTGACAGCAGGCCTGTTCACATCCCTGGCTGTGGTCAGAGGGGATTCACTGGAGACGTCACCCACTATCATCCTTCTGGGGTGCACTGGCATCACTGTGACCTGGGTGTTCAGAAGTTGACCTCTGATATTGTTCCCTCCTGTGGATTTGGAATTTATTGTTTGTAATCCTGGGATGACACAGGCTAGTGCGCTTTTCTCATGTAGACTCCGTTGATGCTTTTTCCATGTGGATGAGTTGATGCCTCACTTAGAAGGCTGCTTACTGTAAGACTTGCCTTTAAGATGCCAGGCTCTGTTTGCTCTGATAGCCAGGCGTCCTCTGATGTCTTCACCACACTTTGCTATAGCACTTATAGCTTCAGTGATCTTTGATCTATGATATTCCCCATCTTCAAAACACCAGTAAAACAAATATCGCTCATCTCAAATCTGTCTTCAAAAATGATTTTAAAGTCCCATTAGAATCAGACCCACCAAGAAAATTTCCCTTTTGATTAACCTGAAGTTAACTGATTAATAGCTTAATAATGGGAAT